CCGGTGAGGGTTTTTTTTTATTTTTTGGGTGTTTTATTTTTGTGTTGGGTTTTTTTTGCAATTCACCGGGTGTTTCATTATTTGCCCCCCCCCCCCCCCCCCAATTCGGGCTGATAACTAGGCGGCCGGTCTCAATCAACCTACGACGTCTGCCTTTTAAGTGTCCGATATATTAATTTGCGAAGATCTTACACGTTTCCAAAGCGCTGTTATGGCTTTTTCTGTATTTGACGACTTTTAAATCTTCACAACATACTGATTCTTTCTTTCTCAGGTTACATTGGCGAGTTCGAGGAGGTCGATGACCACCGCTCTGGCAAGATTGTCATCCAGCTCAACGGCCGGTACGTTTCACGATTACATCCACCAGTCTCCATGGAACATCAAGCTAATGTTATATCTCCAGTCTCAACAAGTGTGGTGTTATCAACCCCCGCTACCCCGTTCAGCTCCGTGACCTCGAGAAGTGGGCTACCCAGCTTCTTCCTTCCCGTCAATTCGGTTACGTTGTCCTGACCACCTCCGCCGGTATCATGGACCACGAGGAGGCTCGCCGCAAGCACGTTGCTGGCAAGCTCCTTGGCTTCTTCTACTAGATGGAGTCGTTCTAAAAAAGAATTGAGAAAAAGTTCTTGCTTTGACTGGTTTCGCATGGCGTTGGTTTTATTGGGCTGGACCCTGGAATGTAATCTGGAATTTGTAGCTGTGAACAAAATACCCCATGTTCCGCACTTTCGATGGTTTGCATAGTACACGGTTCGCTCGTATCAATGCTAGATGATTCTGGTCTGCAATTTTGTACTTCTTTTTCCTGATTTTATCGTAGCCTGGCTCGGACCGAGGTGTACTTTCACCGCCCTCGTGTAAGTGTATTCTGCCTTTCCCCCGCAACAACAATATCAGTACTGTACATAGTTGAACAACCCAAGAATTCTTTCGCCATGCCTTTGGACACGATATATCTGACCCGTCATGGAGTATGTCTGCATACAATCATCACTGCGGGCTTATAGACCTAACTATGGCAGCACCGCCTCAGCTGGACCATTGACTTCCGTACAGGCACATACAGGGCCCAATTCCCCACGCCGACAGGAAACCCAGCAGACCCTGCATTGACCTCACACGGCGTGCGCCAGTCACACGAGCTGGCGGAACATATTTCTGCACCCCAATTCCACCCGAAACCATTCCGTATCTACTCGAGTCCCTTCTACCGCTGCCTTCAAACAATCCAGCCTTCTGTTGAAGAGCTGAAGAGAATATCAGCCGAGTCTGGAAGGAGCCAGCAAGATGGCGAGATTGGGTCAATTGATCGGCATGCGGAGCTTGACGTACGAATTGAGAATGGGTTAGGGTAAGTAATATACCTATACCTTCTTTATACTTATACTTCCATCCAATCACTCAACTATTTCCCTCTCGTCCGAACAAAAGAAGCACTTTACCAGCACATTGCTATCCAGGAAGCTAATAAGAATTCAGAGAATGGTTCGGCGCAACAGATTTCTTCGACCACCCGTCCCACCCAACCTCCGAGATAATGTCCACCCACTTCCCAACCCTCATTCCAGAAGCTAGTCAAACCTACATACCACTACTCATCCCTTCAAGACGTGGCGAGACAATCAAACAGCTCCACAACCGCCTAGCAACAGCCCTAGAAGGTATAATCGCCGACATCGACGCAGAAGTCTCCGCTGTGGAAGCAGAGCTGCCACCAAACCAAAGAACCAGCAAGGCCGTCCTGATCTGCGCGCATGCCGCGCCGCTCATTGCCATGGGCCGGGTTCTTACGGGTCGCATGCCGGATGATAGCTCTGAAGAGGACTTTAATGTCTTCACAGCTGGTTTAAGTACCTTTAAAAGGAGGGGGGCTTCTTCTACTGCTAGTGCTGGACACGGCGGTGATAAGGAAGAAAGTTCGAGTGAGAAGCCGCTTGCCGAGGGCACGACGTTCATTCGTGCGTCGGTATCCCCGCCGCAGTGGAGAAATGGGCGTGGTGTTGGTGGAGGATGGGATTGTGTTGCTAATGGGGATTGTAGCTTTTTGAGTAATGGTGCTGAACGTGGATGGTGAGTCGATTTCTTCCTTCCCTTCCTTTGGTATTGAGAGACAATATTAATAGACCCCGGCAGGCACTTTGATGGCGAAGAATCTTTTAATACGGGTCCTATGGCTCTGCCTTCCGATCTACCTGTGAATGTAGGTGCCACGAAACTGTGAGTGAAGGATTTGCGCAACTATACTGTGCCCGTGGGTTTGGCGAACATAACGATGAGGTCATTGCATCTTGGATCATCAAGTACTATAATATATATATGACTCCGAACAATGACTACAAACCGGCAATTTGAGCTGTCATGATCTATCACTAGTGTAAGAGAAATACATATCAAACTTAGAGATGAAACTAAGACTTCTTGCTAACCGCTTACGACTATTTACGATGTACGATGTAAGAGCATCTAGCTCAAAACGACATGGACAACTGACTTGAAAAAGACCAATTCTGACTACCTTACGTACTTGATTTCGTGGCTGGCATTCTTGTGGGTATCACTTTGGCCCTCGTCGAGTTCAATCGCAAAAACTACATTGAAGACGCTATCGCTAATAAACGAGAATATAAAAAGTACCTCCAGGTATAGATCAGTTCCCTTGTTCAGACTGTGCATGCGTATTCGAGACCCCCTCATGTTCAGTACCTGCACTCTCCGCACCCTCTGGCACACCAGGTTGAGCCCGTTCCTGTTCCTGGCCCTCCTGCTCACGTACCTGCTCCTGCTCCTGCTCCTGCTCCTGACGTTCCCGCGCCTGACGCTCCTGTTCAGCCAAGAAAGCTTGGTCCGCCGCAGTGCGAGCCTGGACATGCCGCTCACCAAGACCGGGAACTAGACTCGCAAAAAGAAAAACAAGAGCTCGCTCCGCGCGGCATATTTGGTCCCAAATGCTGAACTCCGCAGCAGCGTTATTGGCTCCATTCTGGGTGGCTCGATCTGCCGGGCCACCTGCATGGGTGAGGCCCTCGAGATGTCGTTGGATGGGACCAATAATCGTAGTCGCAAACTGCCGCGGGATACTGGTCTCGGAAAAGAATGTTACCAACAGGGCAATGCTGACGAAAATGTAACGCCTCCAGGTGCCGGGCGCGCTGGTGAGGTAGCAGAAGAGCCACAGACGGGTGAACAGCCAGATGCGGCGGATATGTCGCGCCAGACCGGCGTGCTCGACGTTGTTGCCTCGGCGCTGCTGGTTGAGCATTGCTTGGCGGATGGCATTCTGGACCACTGCTGCGTTTTGATTGGGTGCTTGAGGTGCCTGGGGTGCGTTGGGTACTTGAGGCGCGCCGGTTTGGTTAGCAGGGGCTGTATTGGGCGAGCCCGCCTGCTGCGTTCTGGGGCGGGCTACACAGTTTGGTCTCACGAGAAGGTTTTCTCCCGTTGGCGAGGTCAGCATGAAGAGCTGAGTGGAGTTTGGCGCGAGGGTGTTCAAGACATTTGTTTGGGTAGCAATAGGGGCCTGGGCTAGAATGCTTGCCTGCGAATGCTGTTGCTGCATATATTCCATTATACGGGCGCGTTGTTGAACATCAAGAATACGGGCAAGTAGTTCTGCAACACCGGGCAGAGGAAGCTGTGTCGCAGGCCGTGCATCTTGGATTCCAAGAATCTGGTTCCGTATATGAATGATACTCTCCATGGATGGCATGAGACGTCGGTCCAATTGTCCCTCAATCTCCTCGATGTAACGTCGTAAAGTGAGAATACGCTGAGATGATTCTGTACTATCAGCTTCTGGTGCGTTTGTAGTTGCTGAGTGTCGGTTAGGCAAAGAGGTATTGACGTATTGATTGATTATCATGTGCGGAGAAGCTGAAGCGGCACCGATTGTTCTAGGAATGCTAGAGTATGAGGACACACTGGCTGCAGGCACCGAAGTATCGGGATTGGAGTGATCCAACCATGTGGAGGAGGAACCGGAATCTTGGGCAGAATTTCCGAAAGGCGAATCTTGCGGCATCTCAGAGACAATAGGTACTTCTGTGTGTGCTGGTTCAGGTGGTAGGACGAGGTGCATACTATCAGTGCCTTCCTGCAAAATAAATACCGTTCAGTTAGGATAGGCCATATGGCGCGGGTTAGAAACGAGTTACTTACCTCGATAGATGAGACCACTACCCCGAGTGTTGCGTCATCGACAGTTAGAGGCTTCCCTCGGTAGATGAGCCTCTGGTGTGATACTTGAGGGTTGTTCGGAAAAGACTGTTCGATCCGGCTCTTGAGCTGTCCGACTGTGGAGGAGAGTGGAACGTTCTCGAGTGTGAACCGGCTTGGAGGGGGTAGAGACTGGCAGAGTATGTGAAGCGTGATTGTTCTGGGTGTTTCTCCCTCTACTATAGGCTGGGATGGTAGTCCTGTCGCCATTGCTTCAGATCTGTGGTTGTTCGCAAGCTAAAAAAAGCCAATATAAAGCGGATCTAGTTGCTGATATCTGGCATCAATTGATAGTCCACGGGTGTTTTCTGCGAGACTCTATAGCAGATAGGAAGGACGTGGGAAGAACGATGCAAGATGATAAAGATGCAAAGATCAAGTTGCAGGAACGCTCATTTATACTGAAATGTATTTGGATATACAGAGCAGAGAGAAAGACAGTCTGTTGCATTTCCACGTGCGATTCTGCCGGGCGGTCAACCGGTAACAACATGTTTTCCCCATTTCGGAAAAAAGCACGCTCTGGGCTTAGGGGTCGATTTTAGCGCTCCAGGCCGATGGATTAAAAGTTATGGCCAAGCGCCTCTTTACTTCTTCACCTCTCCTTCATTGCCCTTCCGCTGGCCCTCGGATCGGGGCTGCGTCGATGGAGGTTCTTTCATTTCGGGCTACGGCCCGCCATAAAGCCAGCCTCCGACATTTTTCGTCTAAATCATGGAGACAATACCAGAAGGATAATAACTCCGAAAACAATAGAGGAGGATTTGGTTCAAGGCTAGGGTTTGCTCTGCGCAATACCAAGGTCGAATGGTATCCCATCCCAGTCGGACTCGGAATCGGTTTACTAGGGTTGCTGTCGTTCTACAAGTCACAACGTGCGGAGCGGGATCGGTTGGCTCGTGATGCAGCCGGCGATGAATGGGAAGAAGGAAAACGGCCACCTCGTCGTCCGAGGATCAGTCTGTCAGGACCATGGCATATTCAGATCATGTCCACTCTGCCCCTGAAGGCTATGTCGCGTCTATGGGGTCGGTTCAACGAAATCGAACTTCCTTACTACCTCCGCGTTCCTGGATTCAAGCTTTACTCCTGGGCCTTTGGCGTCAACCTTGATGAGGTCGCCGAACCCGACCTGCACACCTACCCGAATCTGGCGGCATTCTTCTACCGTAAGCTGAAGCCTGGCGTTCGACCATTGGACCCCGACCCTCGTGCACTCCTGGCGCCCTCCGACGGCCGAATCTTACAATTTGGAATGATCGAACGGGGCGAGGTTGAACAAGTCAAGGGAATGACATACAGCCTGGATGCCCTTCTAGGAGCAGCCACGCCTGCGAACGCCGACCACAGCAACCGACTCACGGACCAGGACCTGAACGAAGACCAAAAGGATGTTGAGAACATGGATGCGCATGAGGAGTTTGCGCGCATGAATGGGATTTCCTACACTCTCCCGAGTTTCCTTTCGGGAGACTCTGATGCTCCCAAAGGACGTGCTTCATTGGATGCTTCAACCGCATCCAAAGCAACCTCGGAAATGCTTGTGCAAGAGGACCTGGCCCTCGGCGATGGAATACCATGGTACGCGCCCAAAGCAGCAGCCAACCATGCCTTGTTCTACGTTGTGATCTACCTAGCACCCGGTGACTACCACCGTTTCCACTCCCCCGCTCCCTGGGTGGTCGAGAGCCGCCGCCACTTTGCTGGCGAGTTGTACTCGGTTTCGCCCTATCTGCAGAAGCACCTACCCGGTCTATTCACTCTCAACGAGCGAGTTGCACTCCTCGGCCGATGGCGCTGGGGATTCTTCAGTTACACTCCGGTCGGAGCTACTAATGTAGGCTCCATAAAAATCAACTTTGACTCGGAGCTGCGCACAAACAGCCTGTTGACTGATACCGCTGCAGACTTGGCAGCAGCCCTGGCTGCCAAGCGCGGTGAGCAATATCCCGGCTTCGTGGAGGCGACTTATCGCCACGCCAGCCGCACACTTAACGGACATCCACTGCAACGTGGAGAGGAGATGGGCGGGTTCCAACTCGGCAGTTCTATTGTACTTGTGTTTGAAGCTCCGCTTGGAACTCACAAGTCCACTGATGCCGGCCGGCCGGAAGGTGCCCCCAGTGATGGGTGGACCTGGAGTATTGAGAAGGGCCAACGCATCAAGATAGGCGAGAAATTGGGCTTTGTCGGTGAGGCGTAACGTACATGATGTTGCACAGCCCGGTGCACAGCCGACAGCAGTAGGTTATTGCCTCTTGACCTACATGTTTGTCTGTCTTGTATTATACCAGTCCTTCTCTCTATGTTAGGATCTTGATCATTTAGTTTAATCACATTTTTTCCCCCTTCGATCTATGTCAGCTCAAGTGTATCAGCGTGCATATTTCCTAATGTATCAGCACAGGCCAGGTCGTGGCGTGATGGTCCCAAATGCGTCATTGCCGATCCCAGGCTCTAGCGTGTTGCACAAGTAAGAAACTATGTAGGCTATGTAGTAATGTTGAGGGTAAAGCTCGGGATGCGATCGGCTTCTTGAGCATTCGACTCGATTGAAACTTATGCTAAGTTTCTTAACTAGTATGCCATGCCATTGATAGTCTTCTCGGGTTTCTAGATAGACGGCGGAAAAAGGCTCAACTTGTGTAGACGACTTCTCTTTGTATAACTTTCGACTATTATATAGTTACTGTAAGGTTATTACTAGCAGTTAAGTTAGGAGAACGTGCATTGAGCGTGGTTGGGTTGGAGGAGGATCATTGGTGCTTCTGTCGACAACACTGCGGCCCCTTGCTGTGGCATAGTGGTCCATCGGGCCCATTGCATCTTAGGATCTAGAAGCAATCTTTGCACCCACGCCCTTTTTAACGTGGTGATGGACATTTTTATTCGTGGCCTTGACCTTCTCGGCCTTGTCGATCGCACCTAGACACGTTCTGCCAAATCTTGCAATACATACATACTAGCATCGGGGATGTCAATACGAAATCCGTCTCCTTATCCTGGTAT